GCACACACAGACAGACATACTGATACACAGACATACTGACACACACACAGTCAGACCTACTGACAGACACACACAGACATACTACACACACACAGACCTACTGACAGACACACATACACACACAGACCTACTGACAGACACACACACAGACCTACTGACAGACACACACACACACATAGACCTACTGACAGACACACAGACCTACTGACAGACACACACACAGACATACTGACACACACCCAGACAGACATACTGACACACACCCAGACAGACATACACACCCAGACAGACATACTGGCATACACAGACACATACTGACACACACACACAGACATAGTGGCACACACAGACAGACATAGTGGCACACACAGACAGACATACTGTCACACAGACATACTGGCACACAGACATACTGACACACACCCAGACAGACATACTGACACACACCCACCCAGACAGACATACTGGCATACACAGACACATACTGACACACACACACACAGACATAGTGGCACACACAGACAGACATAGTGGCACACCCAGGTAGACATACTGGCACACAGACACACATACATACTGGCACACAGACACACAGACACATAGACATACTGACATACACACAGTCAGACCTACTGACAGACACACAGACCTACTGACAGACACACACTGGCACACAGACATACTGGCACACAGACATACTGGCACACAGTCAGACCTTCTGACACACATAGACCTACTGACAGACACACACACATACAGACATACTGACCCACAGACATACTGACACACAGACATACTGAAATACACCTATGCAAACTTTAAAGCCCCCCTCCAGTTTCCTACCTTCCCTGGGGTCCAGTGTGCTGGCTTGGGTGGTTGGGAGTTGGGGACTTGGTCTCTTTGCTCAGTCCACCTCCTCACTGCGTCCTGGCACAGGCTCCCTCCCGCGTGGCTCATCATCTCTGAGGGAGGAAGTGACTTGCGGACGTCACTTCCTCCCAGTGCTGCTGTAAAGCAAGGGTCCCGGTCGTGCTGTTAAAGGGTCACAGCACCCGACCGGGCCCCTGCTGAAACGTGCTCACCGGGTGGCCCTAAATGTATTGGCCACCCGGTGAGCCTCCTTAGAGTATGGGCCCCGGTGCAGCCGCAGTACCAGCACCGCGGGCCCATGGGGGGGGGGGGATTTTTCTTATGCAGGCTATGGGCGGCGGGGCAAATAGGGCCCCCAAGGAGTAACTGGGCCTGGGGCAGCTGCCCCGTTTGCCCAGCGTTAAAGATGGCCCTGGAGAGTAGGCCCATTCACTCTTAGATTATAAGAATCTGTCTGTTTAAAGAAACACTCCACGCACCATAAGCACACTCCGATGTAGTTATAGTGCCAGGAGTGCCCTGACATGCCTCTCAATGCAAGTAGTCAAACTGTTTGCTATCAGTTTGCTAACTTACCTGAGGTGTGAAGGGCTCCAGTTACCTCCACCATGAGAGCCAGAAGCGTTCTGCTCCGAGCCAAGCCTGGCAAAGAATTTCTGATAATTCCACAGCCAAATATATTGAAGACATTCCTGATATTACTAGTCTCATTGAGGGAACTGTTCGTACATGACAACTATTTATACCTATTCAGCTGTACTTACAACATGCACCTTTATTCTAATTTGTGTGAATGAGAACTGTGTTAAAGTGGGTGAAATGTGTTTATACCGTGATGTGCTTAAAGTGACGTTGATAGACTTTGATATTCCTGAAAATGTTTACCTTTTTAAGCTGCAAATTTCATGGCACATCGATGATGAGGTCTGCTTCATAATTTCAAATAGGGTATAAGCAAGCTCTGGAATTAAGCAGCTTCTAATTGGACCAAGACTAGAGACAACGTTTTGACTCCACGCTGGAGTCTTTGTCTGTAATGGGATGGAACTGAAACATTGTCTTTCAACTTGTTCCTATACAAAGTAGCTTAATTCCTTGACTTAGTTCCTAGACCCGTCTTGAAATTATCTACATTTGGGGAGGTGCCACTCTTGCTTACAAAAAGTATGGATTCCACATGATGCTTGTAACCCCTGTCCTTTTTACTTGAAAACTCATTTTTCATAACAGTTACTACGTAAGAAAATGTATTTCAAGGTTTCCAGATCAATAGGTTTCATTAAAGATTTCAATGTATCAGTATTACAATATATCTGCCAAAATAGTTATATGGAACCTCAAATTTTTATTTTGAGCATCATGTCTCTGACACTAACAAATATTGCTTTAGCTCACTGCTTTATTTACTCTGTGCTGATATCACAATTTACTAAATAAATGATCTGTGTCATTAGGCTATATGATTTTAACTATAATACACCTATCAAAATAATGGAGATATGTTGCTGATTCAATGACCAAGATTCCAACAGAAAACACAGTATTTTTTAAAAATAAAATACTGGAGAATGTTCAGTTAAAGTCATTGCGAGACGCTGCTGGTGAAATGGAATGAAATTACACGAGCGATCAAATAGAAGAGAGAACAAGAGTAGGCATTCAATTACAAAGCTTAAATACACCTACATGCTGTACATATACATTGAGTAGATAATACAAATAGAATGACAATAAAAGGGTATGTTGCTTAAGTGAATGTCCAGGGTTGGTCAGATTTGTAAAAATTATAGATATTTGTAAATATTAATAAATAAAATATGACAATATTGAAATCTGGCTAACACAATGAATGTTTATACTACCCAGGATCTAGGTATTAAAGTTAAAGGGACGTCACAGAAACCAAAATAACTTCATCTAAATTAAGTTGTTACGGAGGCACTCTTACCTCAAGGGGTTAAACCATTATTGAACCTCCCTCTCTACCCCCCCCCCAGATGGCATCCGGCTTCTGAAATTTCACTTAGAGAAAGTGAGGATTACCACCGGGAAGGGGGACACTAATTGGCTCTCTGATCAATGTGCCTCTCTAATCCCCTCTCAATGTATTGGGCAGAATTAGCCTTCTGTAACTGTCAATGATGTAATATTGCTAGGTCCTGATTCTACCTGGTCTCTTATTTAGGAAGCCATGTTAAAATAATAGGTTTCGCTCACTGTTTAGCTGTAAAAACCAACCAAGGACGTCTATTTCCAGAAATTGTACAATAGTTGACATTTCTTATATCTCCGCCTGTCACTACGATATCGGCACACAACATTTTTAAACAATCTGTGTTTATCTGTAATCTTAATTTAAAAATAGGGAGTAATACATTGGCAGGTGTTGTCGAAAGAACAGATGCACAGCACTCATTGTGAAATCAGCTGTAACGAGGAGAGGTGAACATATTGTAAGTAAATAAAAAAAAATCACTCAGAGTCTGGCATTTCACTTAGTGGGATATTTAAATAGCTGTTTCATGAGAGGGATTAGCTAATAGTAAAACAAGGATCGGATATTATTCAATTTATTCAGTGGAGAAAAAGAATTGCCCATATGCTTGTTTCCGTGAAACACTGTTAAACGTGGAACGACATTGCGCAGTTGGGTTTGATAAACACAAACAAACTGTCTCAAAAGATCACGTGCTCGAAACCATTACTAATCTGGTGAAGTCTTGATAGTTCACAGGATGTTGGCAACAGATACTAGAAAGTAAAGACAATTCCTTTAAATGTATCACTCTTGTATAGGAAGACAAAGTGAAATATTAAAATCAACAGCTGATCATCCTGACTTTATGACGAGTGCCCCAATGAAATTTTGCTTCCAACAAACTTGAATCCAATCATTACTTCCCAGTGTACAATGTTTCACCATTGCTAGTAAAGGACCAGTATAGGCACCCAGACCAATTCAGCTCAATGAAGTGGTTTGGGTGCCAGGTCCATCTAGGATTAACCCTGCCTGCTGTAAACATAACTCTTGCCGCGCATATGCATTCAGCCGATGACAACTGAAGGAGGAAGAGAGTCTCCAGCGCCGAGGGAGCCCAGCACTGGAGAAAGGTAATATTTTAACCCCTTAACCTCTCTTGATCCCAGCGGGAGGGGGCCATGAGGGTGGGGGACCTATGAATACTATAGTGCCAGGAAAACGAGTTTGTTTTCCTGGCACTATAGTGGTCCTTTAAGTGATCGATGTACATCTGCAAATGTTCTATGCATGTTTTTTAGTGCATATTGGGTGTTTTGAAGATGTTTCCATTGGATTTGTGTATTTCACTCCAAGCTCACTGAAATTCTAATAAATAAATTAAATTCATACACATCTGGTATATTAATTCTTTCACCATGTTCGTTATCCTTAAACTTCTAATGTACAGGTTTTACAATTATGTAACAATGTGGACTATTTGGACAATGGCTGCCACCCAGCATTATTAAATAAAGTGAGAATTCAAGGTGAATTTAAAGTAAATTTGAAATTTAAGGTTAAAATACCCCAAACTACAAAACTTCTCTAAGTCCACTATGCTTTTTTTCAGCTATCCCAGGCATTAAATTTGAAATGAATTCAAAGTACACACAAGTATTACATGATTCTACATATGGATTCTCTTAATGATAGAGACATTCTAAGCTTTCAGAATTAAAGAGCAATTTTAATATTATTGTATAGTAATTTCTGTTACATGCCACATATACTACGAGTATCAAATTATATATTATTATTATTATTATTATTATATATTGCCATTATAAAATGGAGAATGAAAAAGAAATATCAATGAGAGTTAATCTTGCAATATGCTCACTTAGTTTGAAATTTGTGGTTATTACGTCTGAATGTGATGGGAATACCTATTTATATTGCCTTTCCCAATGCAGAAAATACATATGATATTTTCTAGTTTGTGTATTTTCTTACGTATATGTACTTATATGACAATTACTCTAACTTATCATAAGTAGTGATGTCCCAAACGGTTCGCCGAACGGTTCGCGGCGGACGGTGAACATATGCACTGTTCGGTCCGCCCCCTATGTCATCATTGAGTAAACTTTGACCCTGTACCTCACAGTCAGCAGACACATTCCAGCCAATCAGCAGCAGACCCTCCCTCCCAGACCCTCCCACCTCCTGGACAGCATCCATTTTACATTCATTGTGAAGCTGCATTCTTAGTGAGCTGTCCAGGAGGTGGGAGGGTCTGGGAGGGAGGGTCTGCTGCTGATTGGCTGGAATGTGTCTGCTGACTGTGAGGTACAGGGTCAAAGTTTACTCAATGATGATGAATAGGGGACGGACCGAACAGCGCATATGTTTGCCATCTGTGGCGAACCGTTCGGCAACCGTTCGGGACATCACTAAAGTATTGTTGCATGCAATTTTTAAATTATTTATAATATTTTTGGCTAAACTTTTAAAATTTAATTTTTAATATGTAAAATATCAAAAATATAAACATTTTTATATGTGTATTGAAACATTATCGATATGTATAAAAAAGTGTAAATATTAATCTAATTTTCAAAATATTAATTCATTTTGAAAGCGTCTCCAAATATATTAAATCAAAGCCTCATTTTCTATGTGTCAAGGTAATCTGCGACCATTACAAAGAGTCAAACTTCAGATTTTACAACTGCAACTCAATTAAAAAAAGATAAAAATTAAATCAATCTAAATAATTAAGTTAAGGTTTGTAGTTAGAGTGAACCTGTGTGGGCATCCTAAGCATATTGCATTATTAAAAAGTAATGCGAGCTACAATGGCAAGCATTACAAAGGCAAACTAACTGTTATAAAATTAGATTTTTTTTTTCTTTTTTGCAATTTTTTCTTTCTTTTATTCTTCTTTATTTCCAAATGAAAATAAATTATGATATCGGGTTTTTCTGTAGATATTTCTGTACAAATCATTTTCTTTCTCAACATTCTGTCCAAGACTTGCTCTATTACTACTGTCAATTGTTCCAACAATTGTCTCATATTTGATCTCTCTGTTGGACATTTATAACATGTACATCACTAATGAAAAATATCAATTAATGGACAACAGTGTGAGAATAAACAGGTGGTTATTTTGCTAAATAAGTAATATGGCAGAGAACTCCAAAAATAATTGTAATTCACATAGAAACCCATACTAGAAAACTTAGCAATGCTTACTTCCAGGCTGTCCATTTGGTAGCTCACCTGCATCCTTTAGATGCAGAACAGACCCTTTTTCAGTGTGCGGAAGGAAATGCAATTTCCCACTATAGACTAAAAGACTCTGAATATGACTCATGGCAATTCCGAGGGACCTGTTTCTGCTTTAACACAGAACAGAGGAGGAACGTTGTGGGAAGACCTCTGACGTGGGGCTGCAGTACAACAACTTCTGGTCTAGTCTAGTCTAGATTGAGATGGTTATGGAAGAAGGGAGCACAGAATAAAGCAGAAATATGGAATGAAGAGGGCAGAGGAGGAAATGGCAGATGGAATGATGAGTGTTAGTTAAAAAGCCATAAATGAATTAGTAGTTAAAAGGTCACACAGAGAACAGGGCAGGTAAACGTGGCTGATGCGTGCAAAAGAAATGAGGAGGTTAGAAGAAGAATGAATAACGTGTGGAGGGACTAGTGAATGAAAATGGCACCAGGTTCCCCTGCAGATTAATTCAACAAAATATAGTATTCTATTCCAAAGCAGTGGACAGCACAATTGTACACAGTGTATCCACAGGTATTTTACAGTAGTTAACAGGTATTTTACACTAAAGGTAACTTCAGGGCAGTTCTGTTGTATTTAGCTGCCAAGAATAAGCTTAGTGTACCATACATACAAGCCTTCATTTATATTGATTCATTGTAATTTTATTTCAAAGACAGGTTTATGTGAAGCGTGACAATGCTTCAAACGTAGGAATGATCCAAGTTGTTTTTTTTTTAAATTCTTCACAGGAAAGAAAATTCTTTGAAACTTTTCTCTGTGTCTTTTATTTATATTTTATTCTCCTCTTCTCTTTAACAACTTTCATGATTCATTTTGGCAAAAACAAGGGGCATTTGTTTTCCAACAGCTCTTTGAGGAACATAAAACACCCCAGATGGTTGGTCCGGCTCTGGCAGGGTCTGCTGGATGTAAGAGCCAGAATTTGGAAGACATCAGCAGGCCTGGGGTTTTGTAAATAATGAAGAGAGCATATTCACTACGTGAAACGCAGCATAGAATCTTAACAGAGACTTGCATTTCTCAGCACTGTGTCCAGCTCAGATCAGCGGCCACCACACCCTGTGATTAAGGACTGCAAGCCGTGGGCTTGTTACCAGTACTGATGTCATGCACTTGATTGCTTGAATACTGTGGGTGATGATGAAGTTTTTTTAATTGTTGCACATGTTCGGATGATAACAAATTGTATATTTACTGACGCTTATCTCTTTTGTTCAGTGAAAGAAGGGTCTATTTACTCAGAGAATGCTGCATCAGAATAACACCCTTAAGCACACAATTTTCTTTTTATAAAGAATGTGCTTTATTCAACTGATTAGAAAAAAAAATATGCGCGGAGACGCAGGGACAGCTGGTAGCGGGGAGGGGCAGGGGGGTGTTTAAAGGTGACATGCTCCATTTAGGGTAATAAACAAAATAAATAAAAATACAAATTTCACGATGATATCCAGACACCTTTGTAGTAAATAAAATATTTACAGTTGGAAGTGGTCAAGAGGTTATGTACTAAGCCTCAGTGACTCAACATTTGTTAAATAATGTCATGATGTGGTCCTCTGATGGAGAACTTCTGGCCAAGACTTACTTTAATATCAGTATTATAGTCAATGATATTTGAGAGTAAATGATGATATAAAGGTTATTCTTTGAATGAAAGGTTAACTTTGTGACTACAGTTCTTGGCTAGACTTGAAATTAATAGAAAAAGGTAGAAAGATAGAAACCTAAAAACATAAAATGTGACAGCAGATAAGAACCATTCGGCCCATCTAGTCTGCTCAGTTTTCTAAATACTTTCATTAGTCCCCAGTCTTATCTTATAGTTAGGATAGCCTTATGCCTATCCCACGCATGCTTAAACTCCTTTACTGTGTTAACCTCTACCACTTCAGCTGGAAGGCTATTCCATGCATCCACTACCCTCTCAGTAAAGTAATACTTCCTGATATTATTTTTAAACCTTTGTCCCTCTAATTTAAGACAATGTCCTCTTGTTGTGGTAGTTGTTCTTCTTTTAAATATAGTCTCATCCTTTACTGTGTTAATTCCCTTTATCTATTTAAATGTTCGGATTGTTTCAGAATGTTATCTATTTAAATCAGATATTGCTTTAACCGTTCAGTGACCACATGTTACATTTACTGTCCTCACAATTTGTTTCTTAAAGACCATACAATAGTCTTGGTCATTGAGGTCTGGTAGCACTATAAGGTTTTATGTTTGTTTAGTGAGTTGGACGTTTAATTTTAAAATAGGATTTTTAACAAACAGATTTTTATGATGGCATAGGTTATCAGTGGGTTTATAAGTTTACATTTCTAATGATATCTTAATGATTTCTCTAATACATGCAAATAAGTCTAATTCCCCTGATGGGAGTAAAAAAGAAAAATGTCCGAAAATAAGTATTTTAAATCACAAGTTAAATGTATTCACAAACTTTATTAGGTGATACATTTAACCCCTTAAGGACTGGACTGTTTTTGCGATGTTGTACATTTGCGACCAGGCCTCTTTTTACACTGTTGTGGTGTTTGTGTTTAGCTGTAATTTTCCGCTCTCTCATTTACTGTTCCCATACAAATTATATATTGTTTTTTTCAGGACAAAAAAGGCTTTCTTTACATACCATTATTTATATAAGCTCATGTAATTTAATTTAAAAAAAATATGATGAAAAATTGAAGAAAATACATGTTTTCTTCAAAAGAGAATAAAAAAACTGCTAAATAGATTCAAAATTTTGTCCTGGGCTTTAAAATACCCAGTGTTTACATGCTTATTTTTGCAAGTTATAGGGCTATAGGTACAAGTAGGATATTGCGGTTTCAAAACATACATTTTTTAAAATTTATCAATAGTGACATTGTAACACTATTATCTGTCATAAATCTCTGAATAACACCCCACACGTACATATTATTTTTAAAGTAGACAACCTAGGGTATTCAATATGGGGTATGTCCAGTCTTTTTTAATAGCCACCTAGTCGCAAACACTGGCCAAAGTTAGCGTTCATATTTGTTTGTGTGTGAAAAAAGTTAAAAACTAAATTGAACGCTAATTTTGGCCAGTGTTTGTGACTAAGTGGCTACTAAAAAAGACTGAACATACCCCATTTGCAATACCTTGGGTTGTCTTCTTTTGCAAATAGTATGTCATCATGGGAGTTATTCTCACTCCTGGGCTACCATTCGCTCTCAAAGGCAACGTAACCAATCTGGCCATTTTCAACGTAAAAATATTTGAGCCATATATTTGACCCTGTAGCTTTCAAAAATGCTATAAAATCTGTAAATGAGGGTACTGTTATACTCGGGATACTTTGCTGAACACAAATATTGGTGTTTCAAAACAGAAAAACGTATCACAACAATTATATCATCAGTAAAAGTGCTGTTTGTGTGTGAAAAATGCGGGAAAAAAAAGTCATTTTCACTGACAATATAACCACTGTGATATGTTTTACTGTTTTGAATCGCTAATATTTGTATTCAGTGAAGTCTCTCGAGTAAAACTTTACCCCCCATGTACAGGTTTTAGGGTGTCATAGAAAGTTACAGGGTAAAATACAGTGCTAGCAAATTAAATTCTCTGGACTTTTGGCCTGGGTTGGCAGGCAGGTCCCTCAAATTGCAATTAATAAAATTACTGAATTATGTAAAAATATTACATAAATATGCACGTAGAATTTAAATATATATATACATATTTATATATTTGAAGTCTACGTGTATATTTATATAATTATTTAAGTAATTTTGTAAATGGACATATGTATATTTCGTATTATTTTTATTTATTTATATATACATAGATATATATACAATTTCCTTCTAAGAGTATTTTGATATAAATATATATATTTTAATATCAAAATATAGTTAGAATAAAATTTCATATAGATATATATATATATATATATTTAATTTGTATTATTATTTTACATTTTTATTTAATTTAATTTACTTATTATTTGTATTTTATAATAATATATATATACAATATATATAGTTATTATATATATTATATA